CCTTTTAACAAAGTTGCTTGAAAACTCTCTGTCAACATATTAGCTTGTACATCCCGGTACATCTGATCCAAATCAAACTTTGTCTACAAAAAAAAAAGTTAACCAAGTAAAAAACAATTATAGTTAACCATATAAAATATATTTAAATAAATAATTACCGCTAAATGTTGTAATACGGTGTCCTGCAGGGGAAACTTTTTTCCAAGTCCATTTATCAAAAGGGACCATGTGCCACATTGTTTTTCCAACTTCTCGGGAAAACATGTCTTTCGGCTCTCCTACGGGATCAAATGTGATATCCCTATCATATTCCATGCTAATCGGTTTGCCCTGGTTCCGTAAGATCGCTTTTTCAAGCTTTAAATTTTTCGCTTTGCCTCGAACTTTCATTCATGCATGTTGCTCAACTACAAATGTAATTAAAAATTATTAGAAACGGTATTTAATTTATAATAACTGAACAAAAATAGTAAATAAAAATTCATAATAATACTTACCGTCTTGCTCGTGATGACTAGCACCTCTACCACCTGGGAGAGGTGGGTCCTCACCTCCATCACCCTCGTGTGCACAACCCATAACAGCAGCCATGGTATACATAAGCAAAAACCATATTGTCATCATTTCCTGAAAAATTATAAGATATACAAATACAATTTTTATTACAAATACACATTACATAGAAATAAACATTTACATAGGAATAAACATTTCTATTTAAACTAGAAATCCAAATAAAGTTCATATTACAAACACATATTACATAAGAACTATTCTAATCAGAATCGTCCTCATATCCTTTAGTGTCTTCTTTGGTATCATAATCAGAATCGGTCTCATCGTAATCAGTCTCGCAATCAGAAACATCATTGACTCTACCAGTTGGCGGAGGAACTTCAGTTGCACTTTCGACATCAACAATGACTCTAGGAATGTTTTGAAAGTACATGTTGAAATCGATAAAAAGTGGAGCATCGGATGAAGAGATATTTTGAAGTACATCGACATTGTCTACATTTTCGTGTGATCCATTGTCAACATTTTGGACACGGTCATCATTCGATGGTAGATCCCAAATACTTCGATGATTAACATGCTCGACAACACACCGATGGTTATTTTTTCCACACGTTTGTTTTATTTATACTAGATGGACAAATATACCCATGATTATTGAAAAAAAAATTGTTTGTTTCTTTTAATATGTTTAGCAATTAATTTTTAATGAATAAAATATTAAATAAAGAAAAATTAATAATTTGATATATCCATAAAAAAATATTTCTTACTATTGTACCTTTTTATATTTTTTTTATAACATTTTTTATTTGTTTTTTCAATTATACCATTGTACTTTAAATAATTATATTATGTTGTTGTGTTGTTCTTTTTTTCCTTCGAGATTAAAAAATATATTTTTTTTTATTTATAACATTCTATAAATATGTTGCAAATAAAAAATTTAAAAACTAAAAAAGACATGAATATATAAATATGAAACTATAGAAATATAATATTATAAGTTAATTTAAAGATTATAAGTTAACTATAGAACTTATTTGTTAATTTGGGGTTAGCTTGGGAAAAACTAGAAACTTTCTAGTATTTGTATATAAGTTTTTAAACAATTTTATAACATTTTTTGTGTTTTTTTTTTGCCAATTATAACAATAATTTTTTTTTTTTCAATTATAGCATCCTACTTATACCAAAACCACATACTTTTACATAATACATAAGAGCATGAAATTCACATACTTTCACATACATATACCACATATACACCAAATAAAAATACATTCACATACACACAAAATAACATCCTACTTAAACCAAATACACATAATTTCACATATATGGATAATAACATCCTATTTATACCAAATACACAAATTTCACATTCATATACCACATTTACAACAAACATACATACATTCACATACACACAATAACATCCTACTTATAACAAACACATATAATTTCACATATATATAGATAATAACATCATATATATACTTCTACCAAAATACTAATATACCACATATACATCATACACACATACATTGACATATATACCCCAAATTCACATATATTCATACAAATATCAAATATACATACAATTTTCACATATGGCAATTTTCACATAATTTTTACATACAAATACCAAATTCACAAAAAATTGAAATAATAGAACCTGTAGTGGCGGAAATCAACGGATATGTAGCCGGAAAAATTGGTCTTCACCCAAAAATACCCTCACCCGTAAACCCAAAGACAACACCACCAAAAACACTGAAATTGAACAATTTCTTGCAATTTAATCATCAAATGCAGCTAGAAATCGAAATTAACATACAAATACAAAGAGATACAAGAAATTCAACTTACCTTTTTTCAATAGATGGAGCTAGAAATCGGTCCCAAGAATCCCTAACCACCCTTGATCCCTAATCTCACACAATATGGGGAGATATGTTGTTGGAATCAACTATATGCACACAAAATCGGGGGAACTTGGAAGAGGCGCAGGGTATAGCAGCAGCAAACAGAATGAAAATGGGAAGAAATGAGCAATCTGCGTGCGTTTTTTTTTATCTGCGAGAGCCTTTAGCGGCGACTCTTTTAGCGGCGATAACTGGGGCTTTACCGGCGACACAAGTCAATAGCGGTGACAATCTGGAGGGAAGGGTACCGCGTCATTTGTTAGGTAACTATTAGCGGCGACACAAATATTGCCGGTATTAGGTTTGTGCGGATAAGGGACCCCAACCGTTGGATTAGATACTTGATCGAACGGCTGAGATCTAATAGAGGGGGAAAGTGAGGATTCGGGTGATAAGCCTTTAGCGGCGACTCTAACATTTGTCGCTGCTAAAAGCCCCTGTCACCGGTAATAGTGTCGCCGCTAAAGGTCGATATTATTGTAGTGGGGGTTGTGGGGTGGAACTCCATTGTCAAGTTTGCAAGATACCATAAGTTAAGTCTTAATCAAGTGCATGCATGATTTGTAAGTTTTGTGTAACTTTATGAGTTTTATGTTTAATATAGGACGAGTATTTATATTTATTTACCTTGCTTGACATTGCTTCCTTAGAACGTAAATCGTGGGCAACATATTGTACATCCAATTATGTAATGTCGATTATAGATTGTACATTCAATCATTGATCATGGTCTTTTTTAGCTATGTTATGCTATTACTATCAATATAATCATTGATCATGGTCTTTTTAAGCTATGTTATGCTATTACTATCAATATCAATATGTAGCTGGAGTCCGATGCATGGGTTAGGGCATGAAATAAGTTGCTTTGGCCGAATATAACCATATATACTTAATTCCTTTTGTTTCTAATATGATATATACAAATGTTTAGAATAATAAATGCAAACGAGCATCATGTAACAAAATGGCATGGGGTTTGAACCCTCACAAAAAAGATGTTCTTAGAACAAGAAACGATATTTTTGTAGGATAGAACTATGTTGTCTAATTAGCAAGATAATCTCAAGATGATCAAGTGTATATGCATAATTAGTAAATTTTGGTATATCTTCTTGAGTTTTATTTTTGATATATGACAAGTATATACATTCATTTGTACCCTTCTTGACATTGCTTGCTTAGAACCTAAATCAACGGCAACATATATTGTACATCCAATTACATGTAATCGATTATTGGTTGTACTTTTAATAATTGATTATGGTCTATTTTATTCATGGTATGTTATTACTAGGTAGAGTCTGATTAGGGTGAGCGCGGTGCGGTTATTGGTCAAAACCTCACCACTAACAGCAAATGCGGTTAATCCATTTTCAAAACCGCTTGGTGCGGTTACTTTTGCGGTGCGGTTAGGCGGCTATTTTTGTGGTGCGGTTTTTTTGTGGGTTTCGGTTATTAACCGCATGGATTTAATACGGTTATTCTGTGTGGTTTTTAACCGCACTTTAAAGTTCAAACAGTTTTAAAAGTTTAAAGATATTACTTGTAATAATAAAAAATAATAATGTATAAAACAATCAACTTAAATTACAAACAACTAATATCTTAAAAACTTTAAATTACTAGTAATTAACAATAAATATCATAAAATTGTCAATTTTCATTATTTTTCAAAGTTAAACATATAAAAAAACCAACATTTTTGTCTTCTAAAATTTTATCTTTCTTTCATCAATTAAACTTGTCTTATTTTTAATATTTAATATATTCATAATTAATAAAAAAAATTGTATATAATATATTCGGTGCGGTACGGTTTTTTTGTGGTTTTTGAAAACTAATAACCGCACCGCACCATAAATTTGCGGTTTTTGAAAAACAGAGAAGATGGTTATCATACAAATGATGCCCTTATAGGTAAGGGAATGGCAGCTTTGCTAATTATTTTATGTTCATTTAATTTTTGTTGGCTTATATTGTTCATACTATTCTCTTTTGTAAACACTAGCATCCCCTTTCCAATATCCTAATTTTTTCCTTACAAATGAATGGCTGTTTTATGTGTATTTAATTTGCTTTTCTTTCAAAAGTTAGCTCAAACAATCAAGCGAACTAGTCTGCCTTGTTCAACAAAGAGCAACAATATATATCTAATAAACGATAGTATAAGACCCTAAAAATACCAAACTAATTAAATTGTCAGTAACTAAGAATTTTATTATTTCCATATATAGTTGTTTGTTGACATAAAATCTTATTCATTACATACAAATTCTTACACCGTTGTTTGGAAATAACTACCAACAATACTAGAATCAACATAATCAACAGTTGAAATATCACATACATAAGGAGTAATGTTATATCCTTCTACCGATTCTCCTAGAAGTATCTTTATGAGAAATATACCACAATTGTCTATGTTTCAGTTTCCATGAAATATCTTTTAAGATGATTGGTAGAAGAATGTAACCTCACTCTTAACACAATAAAATTTTAACACTTGTAGATTTTTCCAAAAAAAAAAAAGAATAAAACTAAAATAAAAAGATATTGTGACTTTGTGAGTGTCATCGGCATTGATCATTTCTTCCAGGCCCACCATAGTAAAAGTATGTGCCCCATTGACTGCTGCTAGAGCTTTTAATGTTATAACAATTGTTGTTCTCGGCTAGAGTCGATATATCATGAGCTGAGATGAGACTGTTATCCGAATCAACTATCTCTAGGTTTCGAAAATAGCTTGCTTTTCCAAACCCATCTTCTGCAAAATAACCCGACCCCATTCCAGTGGATGTGTGTTCACCATTTGCTCGTGAATTCACGACCTCACCTCCCCATTCCACCATTGTTGCTCGGTCAGCAAGATGTGTGAATAGCTCTGCAGGCCAATACCCTACTAGTGTATTCTCTCCGAACCCCATCCACCAATTCCCAAGTTTCGGATCCTACCATTTGTAAAAAATTATATGTTAAACCATAAATAATCATTATGTAAAAATGTTTTAATAGTAAGAGGAGATCTTGTTTTTTTTTTTTTAATAGTAAGAGATCTTGTTTGCAAGAAGGGTTTTTACTACTCTTTGGGTGCTATGGGATTGAATTGTTTTTCAGGTCTAAGAAGAAAAGAAATTAAAAGATACGATGTTTAATATATAGTTTAACTTATTTTTTTTTAGTTTGTACATAGAAACTTGAAATTTGAAAGTCGATTTGAATTTTTGATTTCCAATGAAATCAAATGTTTACTATTTGTTATGTGTGACTGTATTTTCTCAATTTCTTTGTTTTCTCGAATTAATAAAAAATCATCTGTTTAGAGATATTATTCGTAAAAATATTGTAAAATGTTACCTTCCAAATGACTATGGTAACGTCAAATTGGCTTCCTTCGAATTCAGATAGCGGGGAAATAGCAGCACCAATAGCGATTCGGCTATTGGTCTGTATGAATCCTGAACATAACAAGTTGTAACATCCGGTTGCTTGATATGCATCACTCTGTACATGTCGAATATGAAATGATTTAGCACATATCTAGCTAACTTATGTGTATTAAGAGAATTTGAGTACAACTATAATCAAAGTAGTCGATAATATTCATGAGCTTGAAGAAAATAATAATTGAAACGTACACTTATTGTAAAGGGTCATTTTCGTGCTATAATATCTTATTATTCGGGTATAGTTAGTAAATGACAAATCGGACCACCAAAAACTTTAAAGGAAGAACATGGAGTTGTTTCGGATCGTAAATATTATTCTTAAATGTGTTGCCATACCATCAAGCACCACGAGCCCAATATGTTGTCCATCCAATTCACCCAAATTTAATTCCTATTTGACTCTTTATCAATAATATGGCTAAATTTTTAATTTAACCTTTATCAAATATTTAACCATATTACCTATGGTTAAAATATAAAAAAATTGTAAAAAATATATGAGAGAGAGAGAGAGAGAGAGAGATTACCGTCCAGTAAGTGAATAATCGAGGTCTACTGTCACCATAAAGTTCCGGACTGACCTGACTAGTAGAAGAATCAAGGCTTTAGATATTGCATTACATCGATTTATGTTATAAAACAAAATAAAAAGTTTGACATATATACATACTTTAGGTGTCATTCAAATTAAAATTAATACATCTAACCATTTCGTTTCGTTGTAATTTAAAAATCATTGGTTACCACTTCAAGATTCATTTAAAATAACTTCCACCATTATTAAAATATTAAAACTCGATAACGACACTAATCCAAACTTCAATGGGCTTGACAAAGTCATCACTCCATTTTTTCGATGTCAAACACACACTCACACACACAAATACACACAGTGACACACACACACATTTTGGAAATATAAAAGAAGTATAGAAGGGGGTGTACGTACCTGCCAGCCAGCTTCAATGCTATTGAGATCAGAGCCATCGAAAGACCCGGAAAGAACCCAAATCTGGGAAAGACTGAACTCATTAATCACTTCTATCTTTGGGTCCCACACGTTTATTGTCGCTTTTGCCCCGTAAATCTCACTTGATGTTCCTGTGTATGCTATTGCATGCTACACAAGCCAAATACCCACCATTAATTAATTACTAATCCATATAATTGACAATCTCCAAATCTTTAAAAATAGCACCTAATTCCATATTTTTTATAACTATAAAAAAAAAAAAAAAAAAAAAAAAAAAACAAGTGTCTTCGTGTATAAATTTGTACAACAACTTGATACGAAAAGAAATTCAGGCAATATTTCATCAAATTTACAAAGTTGATAATTAATTTTAAAATGTTATATTATATATTTGTACGAAAGTACCATGTGAAATGGATATAAAGTCAACTACTTGTTGTTACAAGGAAATGGTTTACTTGGAGTTTATACAAAGCTTTTCTTTGAGTAGCGTTTAATAAACGTATTCACGTGGAAGCTTCCCATAGGCATATGGTCAACTTCATATAAAATCTGGTTAACAGTTGATTAAGTTTATTTTTATAACATACATTATTTATATTATTCAATTTTATATCAATATTTATGTACAAATATATATTTACCTCATGGCCGTTTCCACTAACCACATCAGGTGCATCAGCACGTCTTGCAAGTGGTGCATTACTACGTCGTTTTTTGCCAAAATCATATAATGAATTTGATCTCAGAACATCGTGCACCGTGCTCCGTCGCACCGGAACTGTCCCTTTGGGACACCTTTTACCATTTTGGTGCCACATTTGCCAAGCATCTCTTCTTATATACCCTTCATTTTGACTAATATTTGCAGATTTGCCACTAGGATCTTCCTCCTGTGTTTTCACCATTGATTTCACCGTTGGCATTTTTGGTGGCACTCTCTGCATAAATAGAATTATTCATTAATTGATTTTGTATCTAAATATGATACAAGAATGATAAAATTGAATTACTCCATTTATGGATGGGTATTAAAAGGTTGTTGGTAGTTGAATGTTGAAACATTTGATGACAAAAGCCGACATAAGGTCTATATCTAGTAAAATGTTGCATTTTAGGCATAAAGTGTACAAATTTTAAAACAATATGAACAAGAGAAAGATGGGATTTTTATAAAAACACTATAAAGTTTGTATAATAGAAGTAGATGTACAAGATTTTATTGTGTAATAATGTACAAGCTATGAAGCATATATATAGAAGTGTGAATTATACCTGGATTTTGTGAGTTTTGAGGAGGGGGTGATCGAATGCTGGTTGTTTTCTTTTATAAACACAATCAATAATATCTCCATCTGGGCTCTAAGAAAATTAAACGCAGACGTATTTATAAGCTAGGTTCATCTTTAATGGACATGCGATTAATGCAATTGTTGAAGATACCTACATGTACACATTTTCCATGCATAATGGCAAAAATGAAAGTACAAGTGGTTAATGCGGGTTTAATTACCTGAATGGATAAAACGGGAGGCTTGTTGAGGTTATCCAAATGCTTCTGAATCCTTGCAAGTCTCAAGTTTCCTACTTTTCTATACTTCGTGTAATTCATACCCAAAACAGATCTACCATTATAGCAGAAAAGAACAAACAAAAGAAGCACAAATACAAGTCTTGAATGCAGATTGCTGAATCTAATAACCATTTTTTCATGAACTCAATGCATGCCCAGAAAGCAAGAACAAGAACCCTAATTTTCTCTCTCTGGAATAAGAGCTTTTACAGGAAAAAATCACAAAAAGTTTCAGGGCCAAGAACCTCTTATGTATAAGGTTGAAGAAGAAAGAAAAAAACTTGGAAAACGACAGTATATGGGTTGTGTGTAAATGCAAAGAAAGGGGGGTTGGTTTGGCGCAGATCAGCACACAGCTCAAACAATTATCATGATTGTACTCCTGAGAACCTCATAAAACCTGTATCTGTGTGTGCCTTTGAGTGTGTGAATTAATGTAATTGTCATTATGATGATTCTTTGAATGAAAAGGAAATTAATGGCATGCACCAAATTGTTAAAAAAGAAATAAGAAAAAGGGCAATTAATTGGGTGTAATTAAAACACAGACCTACCCACCATTTATATTTAAGCTTACAATACTTAAATACCAGCATCTGCTTCTATCCACCTCTCTACATTTGCCATTAATGTTTCCTTTTATATATCATCACAAGCAAACCTTGCGTAGGATGTATATCATTTGTAATTTAATATTCTCAAAAATCGAAACAACCGATATATATATATATATATATATATATATATATATATATATATATATATATATATATATATATATATATATATATACCTTAAACGCATCATTTGGACAAAAAAAAACATCAATCTTCTCTAAATGGTCCGTTTAAACCATATCTACGCTAAAAAAACAATTTGACAATTTCCTTATTTATTTTTAAAATTTGCATGAATGCACAACTAGTAGTCTGTAAAACTGTTGATTGTGCTCATGAGCAGTCAAAAAAAAAAGTAATCGTAAAATCTTTTTTTTAGTTTAGATATGACTTAGACGCACCATTTGAAAAAAGATTGATGTTTTTGATGTCGAAAAAAAATTAATTGATTATTAGTTCATAAGTTCTTACACATCTTTTTATTTTCAATATATATATATATATATATATATATATATATATATATATATATATATATATATATATATATATATATATATATGCTACTCATTTATATCTTACTGCAAAATCGTCCGTCGTACCTACGCGAAGAAAGAGAGGTAATATTAATACATGAATATAAATTTACGTAAATTCACATATGAATCCATCACCTCTCCTCTCTTCCACCAATTACCAAATGCCACTTACACCACTTGTATCACCACCACCACGTCCGCTAACACTCACCACCACCACCATTACCATCGTTGCCACCACCACCGCCACACCTCCGGCTACCATGTATGCCACAGTTGACAACATGAACCATGCCACCACTACCACCAGCCACCGCCAACCGCTATTGCCCTCCATCCTTTAAGTTGAGGGTTCAAGTCTCTTTGGAGACACAGGTGGATGTAGGAGTAGTTTAGGATTAGATTAGTTTGTCGTTCTCTCTCTCTCTCTCTCTCTCTATATATATATATATATATATATATATATATATATTATATATATATATATATATATATATATATATATATATATATCTATATATATATATATATATATATATATATTGAAACATCCCAAAAATACAGTCTGAAAATTTCGTTTTAAAACATTACTATATCATAGTATCAAATCATTTCAAACATACTAAAAAGGTTATATAACAAATCAGACTATCTTTTCAAAACACTTGTTCATTTTATCAGAGTAAACATCCCAGGCTAAACTTCTTTGGTGTATGCCATGCGATCATCCCAAGCTCTTCCCTCCGCTACCGGAAATACCTGAAACCAAAACTGAAAACCGTAAGCACGAAGCTTAGTGAGTTCCCCAACCTACCACATACCACATACGTAACCACATACTGCAAGTACTGTGCCTCGCCCTCTACCTCGGGCCCCGCCCAGCTTCGGATACATCCGACAACAGGCCCTGCCTGGCTTCGAGCCCCGCTCGGTGTACAAATCTGTTTCTATTAGGCCCCGCCTGTCTCTGGGCCCCGCCCACTAAACATATGCAAACATATAAAATAACACATAACATAAAGTTAAACATACTCTACTGCAGTACTTATCTAAGGCCTCGCCTATCTTGGGCCCCGCCCCTGTCCTGCTACTGGTGAGTCATCGAACCCCATCCACGCTCCTGCTGATAGTGAGATACAGGCCCCCGCCCACACTCACCTCCCTCCTAACTCGGGCCTCGACCCTGCTCTGCTACTAATGAGATACGGAACCCCGTCCATACTCGGCTAGTGATGAGATACGTGACCTCTCCCGACTCACCTCCCTACCAGGCACATACAAGTATCACAAAGACAACAAGTATAACTACACATACACTACTGCCTCGGGTACCACCCGACATCAGACCGAAATTCGGAACATATATACTGCATCGGGCTAACCCCGGTAACAGATCTAAATCCGAACATATCCCAATAAGTGCCTAGGGCTAACCCCCGGGTCTTCCTACTACACATAACCATAAGCATAAACATAATGGGCCGGCATTATAGCCGTAGACCCATGCACACAGTGATGAGACTCACCTCGCACTGCTGAAGACTGGCTGAAACACCTCTGGCTGATATCTGACAATTCTCCGAACTGCTGCTCCCCTAGCTCCCCGAGCTACCAATACGAACACAACACTTAGACCAGAACACCCTTCAAAAGTCATACTAAATCAACTCTGGACAAGGTCAAAGTCAACGGTCCATGGTCAAAGTCAACACTTCAGGTTGACTGGACTCGCCGAGTTGCTCCATCAACTCGTCGAGTTCTAAAGCTAAGAATCCTTCAATTACGAACCAACTCATCGAGTCAGCCCCTGACTCGCCGAGTTCCCTGGCCGTTCTGACTCGTGATAAACCGAGTCAGCTCCCCAAGTCATTCCTCTAACTCACCGAGTTCTAACGCGAATCAACTCAGGATATTCCGCTTCGACCCGTCGAGTCCTTCCCTGGACTCACCGAGTTCCTTGGTCTGTTGGGCTATCTTAATGGATTTGAAACATACCAAAAATACAACCCAAAAATTTCGTTTTAAAAATCATTTCATGACATAAATATCATTGCCATAGTATAAAATCATAAAACATGTATCTCAAAAATCTCATAAGATCTGCCATCATATCACAATCTCATATATAAAATATCAGAGTAAACACCCAGGCTAAGAAAAACTGTGGTGTGTGCCATGCGATCATCCCGAGCCCTTCCCTTTGCTAGTGGAAGTACCTGAAACCAAAACTGAAAACTGTAAGCACGAAGCTTAGTGAGCACCCCCAAACTACCACATACCATACAATAACACATATAACAAATATTGGGCCTTGCCCACTGCATCGGGCCCCGCCCGGCATCAGACTGAAGTCCGGCATAATTTGGGCCCCGCCCACTCCATCGGGCCCGCCCGGCATCGGACCGTAGTCCGGGATAAACTAAACATAACATGAGCATAAACATATAACATATAACATAAACATGTAACTGCTGCATCGGGCTTGCCCGTCATCGGACCGAAGTCCGGAACACATAACTCATAACATAAGCGTATAACTGCTGCATCGGGCTTACCCGACATCGGATCGAAGTCCGGAACACATAACACATAACATAAACATTCATGAATCACAAAGAATATCAAGCATACATAACTACTTCTCGGGACCACCCCGACATCAGACCGAAGTCCGGAAACGTATAAACTGTATTGGGCTAACCCCCGGCATCGGACCGAAGTCCGAAACTACTAACATCTAAACGGGTCGGCATTGTGGCCGTAGACCCGTTCCTACTGGAAGGAAACTCACCTCGTGTGTCTGACTGCTGAAACCCTGAGTGAGAATTATCTGGCTGCTGCTCCGGCGACTCTCCGGCTATAATTCCCACAATGACACTTAGTCAAAAACTGATAACTAATCTCAGGGTGAAATGACCATTTCACCCTTGGTCAAAGTCAATATTTTGGTCAAAGTCAACATTCTGGTCAAAGTCAACATTCCAGTTGGCCCGCCAACTCGCCGAGTCCCTATTCTTTCATCTGCCCCCTAACCCGACTCTACTCGTCGAGTTTAGCAAGAACTCGACGAGTTCCCATTCCAATCATATCATCGGGACAGTCCTCATCTGATGAGTTCTTCCTGAACTCGTCGAGTTTTCTTCATCTTATGAATGTGTCTAGTCTGTGACCCGCTGAGTTGTATGAACAACTCGTCGAGTCCATCTTCATAAATTGGGAGATGATCGTGGACTCGCCGAGTACGTTCCTACACTCGCCGAGTCCCATGGTTACCAGATCCATGGCTTCGTCCATTTCATTGAGCCCTTTCCCTGGACTCATCTAAATCCCTTCTGAACTAAAATGGGTTCCTCTGAGTCATAACAGTTTTGGGAATCAACTTACGACTCGCCGAGTCCCAAGAATGGCTCGTCGAGTCCATGCATGTCCAAGTCTATAATTCGATTTCTGATGTGCAAAAACTCATCCAGAAGGTAGATCTAAGCTCCTAAGATCGGTATAACAGGTAAAGTCATGACCTTTACGTTCATGCATGGGACATTTATGCTCAAAGGACCAAAAATGGGGTTTATTTCATACTTGGGGTTCTCATGGCCATAAAGATGGCACCTTTATGCCATGAGGACCCTCCAAGGTTCCAGATCTGTGTGTAAATCGACTTGGGACGTCCAAGTCCCAAGGATCAAGCTCCTTGGACCCCAAAACCTCATAAAAATGACCACAAGGAGATCTAAGAAACTGCAAGTCAAGTATGAGGCTTGATTATCAGAAAGTGAAGAGAAGTTGATGTTGTTCTTGGATCTACAATCTCCTCTTGAAGTCCTTCTTCTTCCTCTTCTTCTCACAAGCTTCAAATACACCAAATAACTCTCAAAATCACAAAGAAAGCTCAAGTTCACTTATGGGGGATTAAGGTTTCGAGAGTACTGCTCTGGAGGTGATGGAGGCTGAACAAGAGGCCTATAATGTTGCTTAAACAGGGTGCAAACCCTAAATATTAGGGTTCTCCCAGACTGGCCTACTCGTCGAGTCAAGGCGTGGACTCGCCGAGTAGACCACTTAAACCCGCGTCCAAACCTGACATCTACTCGACGAGTCAAGGCTACAACTCGTCGAGTAGATCTTATAAAATGACATTTAATGAATTAAATACATACCAGAAACGGGGTGTTACAATTCTCCCCCACTTGTCTTAGACTTCGTCCTCGAAGTCTCCTGCATCTGGAATCAACTCCGGGTAGTGCTCCTTCATCTCCTCCTCGGGCTCCCATGTCCACTCTGAACCCTTCCGGTGCTGCCACTGCACCTTCACTAACTCTACTCTCTTGTTCCTCAGCTCTTTCACCTTCCGATCTAAAATCGCCACTGGTCTCTCGATATAGTTCAGGCTATCGTCAACGTGAATGTCCTCCAGGGGTACCACTGCTGAATCATCCACTAAGCACTTCCACAACTGAAAAACATGGAACGTGCTGTGGATCTGGCTGAGCTCTGCTGGAAGATCTAACCGATAAGCAACCCGTCCCACCCGGGCCAAAACCCTAAACGGACCAATGAACCTGGGGCCCAGCTTGCCCCGCTTCCGAAACCTGATAACACCCTTCCATGGTGACACCTTCAGGAGGACCATATCGCCTACCTGAAACTCCAAGTCCGAACGTCGCATGTCGGCGTAACTCTTTTGCCGACTCTGAGCAGTCTGGAGCCTGCTTCGGACTTGCTGAATCCGCTCTGTGGTCTTAAGTACTACTTTCGTACTCCCCATGACTCTCTGACCGACATCACCCCAACAGATTGGGGTCCTGCACTTCCTCCCGTAGAGCATCTCGAAGGGAGGTCGGTCTATACTGGAGTGATAGCTGTTGTTATACGAAAATTCCGCTAACGGAAGATATGTATCCCAACTGCCACCGAAGTCTAGCACACATGCTCGAAGCATGTCCTCGAGAGTCTGAATCGTCCTCTCGCTCTATCCGTCCGTCTGAGGGTGGAAAGCGGTGCTGAAATGGAGACGAGTACCCATCTCGTCGTGAAACCGCTACCAAAACCTGGAAGTAAACCGTACATATCGGTCTGACACTACAGATACAGGCACTCCATGACATGCCACTACCTCTCGCACATAAATCTAGGCCAGCATCTCGGCCGAGATGCTCTCCTGAATCGGTATAAAGTGGGCGCTCTTGGTCAACCGATCCACGATGACCCATATCGAATCAACCCCACGTGCGGTCCTGGGAAGCTTAGTAATGAAGTCCATCGTGATATCCTCCCATTTCCACACGGGAATGTCTAACGGATGCATCTTGCAGTGTGGCCTCTGGTGCTCTGCCTTAA